CACAGTTCAACACACAACCCATCACTTTTAAGGGCCAACTATACCATAAAATCTCAGGGGCTCAAAGTTAAGAATTATGATTACATTTTCATTTTGTCACAATCAGTAAATAAAGTTTACATGACCAACAAGTAATATCACAAATATTATTAAATCAGAGTTGAGTTAAATAGTATTGCGAGGTGTTGCTCACACAGTGTCAAGGAACACTTTCTTCTCTTTCATCAGTCATTGGTCGGAAGGAAATATTAAAGTGTTCAGTGAGCATCCACGAGGTCTTCTCTGAATACTCCTTATTTTCTTCTCCGAGGCTCTGGGTCCCCACACTTGCACACCACCAACACACCAGAGGTGGTACCCCTCACAAATATATATATATGCGTACAAGTCTGAATAGTCCCCAGGCATATATGCAACTGAAAACTCCACACCCCAGAAGTGACTCGAACCCATACTGCCAGGAGCACTCTGCAACTGGTGTACAGGAGACCCTAACCACTCGATAGTTGCATAGTGCTCCTGGCAGTATGGGTTCGAGTCACTTCTGGGGTGTGGAGTTTTCAGTTATATATATATATATATATATATATATATATATATATATATATATATATATATATATATATATATATATATATATATTAGTATATTTGGTAGCAGTCTTTCCTGTAGACATATATTATTAAATATGACCGAAAAAGTAAGATTAATAATTCTAACACGAATTTTCTCAATCTTTCGTACATTTCTTTTCACTGTTGGTGGTAATTCAAAAATCAATTCTCCAAAATTCATTTTTATTTTATTTGAGAAAATTCGTGTTAGAATTATTAATCTTACTTTTTCGGTCATATTTAATAATATATATATATATATATATATATATATATATATATATATATATATATATATATATATATATATGTATATATATATATTCCTAATAACAAAACAGCGTCGCTAGCCGGCTGCCACACGGAACAAGGGCTCGCTCGTGCTTGAAGCTCCGTCGCTACACTGAGAATTTCACATTCCTGAGAAAGTCTCAACACTTTCAAGGAGGAAACTCGCGGGGGAAATTTGAAGCTTACTTTAAGCTTGTGTATATGGCAGGAGCGTGGGCGACCACTTTCACAAAACATCAGACTCTCAGGAGTCACTGGGGAGGAAAATCAGGATCTTGAATTGAAACTGTAGAGGCACGCTCTTGTGAGGAATATTTCTGGCGGAGAGGGTTCTTGTCGACGTGGTATTGAGAGACATGAACCTTCTTAATGTTCACAGTTTTCAAGGCATTGCTTTGTACAGACTAGACCGTAATAACCAGGGGCCAGAGTCACGAAGCAGTTACGCAAGCACTTACGAACCTGGGGCCAGTCACGAAGCAGTTACGCAAGCACTTACGAACCTGGGGCCAGATTCACGAAGCAGTTACGCAAGCACTTACGAACGTGTACATCTTTCCCCAATCTTTGACGGCTTCGGTTACATTTATTAAACAGTTTACAAGCATGAAAACTTGCCAATCAACTGTTGTTATTGTTATAAACAGCCTCCTGGTGCTTCGGAGCTCATTAACTGTTTAATAATTGTAAACAAAGCCACCAAAGACTGAGAAAGGATGGACAGGATCGTAAGTGCTTGCGTAACTGCTTCGTGAATCTGGCCCCAGAAGGGTTACCAGTATGCCATCTTCTGTTGCTCGTCAGTTTGTTCAATCCGTTCACAAAGAACTTATTCACTGAGTGGTGAACACTTCATGTTACTGTGTGGACACTAAGAGTTCTCTTTAGTGCTGGACTATGTTCATGGCTCCTGTATCTTGTGGCAGTATTAGTAATGTGGCAGTATTAGTAATGTGGGAGTATTAGTAACGTGGGAGTATTAGTAATGTGGCAGTATTAGTTATGTGGGAGTATTAGTAATGTGGCAGTATTAGTAATGTGGCAGTATTAGTAATGTGGGAGTATTAGTAATGTGGGAGTATTAGTAATGTGGCAGTATTAGTAATGTGGGAGTATTAGTAATGTGGGAGTATTAGTAATGTGGGAGTATTAGTAATGTGGGAGTATTAGTAATGTGGGAGTATTAGTAATGTGGTAGTGTTAATAATGTGGGAGTATTAGTAATGTGGGAGTACTAGTAATGTGGGAGTATTAGTAATGTGGGAGTATTAGTAATGTGGGAGTATTAGTAATGTGGTAGTATTAGTAATGTGGGAGTATTAGTAACGTGGGAGTATTAGTAATGTGGCAGTATTAGTAATGTGGGAGTATTAGTAATGTGGGAGTATTAGTAATGTGGCAGTATTAGTAATGTGGGAGTATTAGTAATGTGGCAGTATTAGTAATGTGGGAGTATTAGTAATGTGGTAGTGTTAATAATGTGGTAGTGTTAATAATGTGGGAGTATTAGTAATGTGGCAGTATTAGTAATGTGGCAGTATTTTTAATGTGGTAGTGTTAATAATGTGGTAGTGTTAATAATGTGGGAGTATTAGTAATGTGGCAGTATTAGTAATGTGGCAGTATTAGTAATGTGGCAGTATTAGTAATGTGGGAGTATTAGTAATGTGGCAGTATTAGTAATGTGGGAGTATTAATAATGTGGTAATCTTAACAACCCTCCAGAGGGTGATAGGCCCAACATCAAACCAATCATTCCGTTGTTAGAGCCCAATTAGGCTTTGCAGTTACCCGTTGGGGACCGTACTAGAGGAGAGACATAGGTCACTAGAAGGTCACTAGAAGGTCACTAGAAGGTCACTAGAAGGTCACTAGAAGGTCACTAGAAGGTCAGAGTTCACCCGAATGAAGAAAGACTAAGACATCATAATATAAACTAATTCACAGGGGCCGTGACGACGATTCGAACCTACGTCCGAGAGTATCGCAAACGCTGCCTTATTCGACTGAGCTACGACACGGTAAAAGAATTGCAACCGGGAAATCATCTTGAATTTACCAACGGATCCTGCAGTCTCTCCGAGACACGGACGTAGGTTCGAATTCTCGTCACGGCCCTTGTGGATTTGTTCATTTGATGCATCACGCTATTGTGATTTCTGTGTGTAACATCGTAATATACTTCTATTACAAAGATTAAGCGAGAGAGGTTTATGTTATATATGAATGGGTATAACAGGGGGGCATATTATTAGGGTTCTCAAAATTTCAATACCAAAATTTTCTTGAAATAATGTCTAAAGACTGCTACGGTTTCAGAGAAAACCCAAGAAAATTCTAGTTTATAAACAGGGTTGTTGATTTATGGTACAGATTTGACAGTAAAATAATAGATGTGAGGTCACTCGAGTGTTTCAAGTGTAGTGTAGATACACGCATGAGTAAGTTTGGGTGGATAGAAAGAGGAGCTGCCTCGTATGGACCAATAGGCCTTCTGTAGTTTTATTTAAGTCTTATGGTCTTATGTACCTCATTACATTACAGGTAACCGTATGACAACGCCGTGTTCAACAAATCATATACAATAAAATTACATTAACAACATATATGATAACGCCTTACCATATACAATACAATTATATTAACAACATATTTATATATTTTTAGTGATTTAGTCATGCCAACTCTCAGTGATATCTATATACAATAATTAATTGTGTGGCTCTGCCATTACAGGGTCGAAGCAGACTGCTTCATTCTCAGCTTCTAGTGGAAGAGTGTTGGCGGCGTCAGTCTTCTCCAACACCCCCACCACCACCACCAGCACCACCTTGATACAGCCTCCACCGCTCTACCAGGATCCCGCCAACAGCGGGTCGTCGGCGGTGCTGGCTCCTCCGGCCAGGTTCAGTAACCAGGTGTTGCCGTCCTTCGCCAACACCACCGCCACCAACGTCACCGTCATCAGGGGCAAGACGGCCTACCTTCACTGTCATGTCCTCAACATTGGCACCAAAACAGTACGTGGCGCTGAGGCAACCGTTAAAATGACTTTGTTGTTCCACTCCCACACAACCACACTCTCACCCTCTCGTGTGTTGCCCAGCCACTTGGGCTGGACGGTAGAGCGACGGTCTCGCCTCATGCAGGTCGGCGTTCAATCCCCGACCGTCCAAGTGCTTGGGCACCATTCCTTGACCCTCGTCCCATCTCAAATCCTTATCATGGACTCCTTCCCAGTGCTATATAGTCGTAATGGCTTGGCGCTCTCCCCTGATAATTGCATCCGTCTCGTGTGTTTGTATTGGTGTCTCTGTGTCACCGTGCCTCTCATACTGTGACTGTCACTCACACTGTGCCAGCACCTCACTGGGTCTCACGCATGAGTAACAGAGGGGCGTCACTCCCGGACAGGTGTCGTGGGTGCGACACGAGGACATCCATGTACTGACGGTGGGTCGCCTCACTTTCACCAACGACGACAGGTTCGTGGCCATGAACAAACCCGGCTCCGACGTGTGGTCGTTGAGGGTCAAGTTCCCGCAGCTGCGGGACTCTGGCAAGTACGAGTGTCAGGTGTCGACCAGGCCGCCCAGAGCTCGGGTCATCTCTCTTAATGTGGTCGGTGAGTAGCCCTCTTGCTCTTCGCTCTGGGAGGGAGGGAATTATCACGGGGAAAGCACCAAGCCATTACTATATGGCATTGGGAAGGGGTCAGGATTTGGGATAGGACGGGGGGAAGAAATGGTGCCCAATTACTTGTGGACGGTTGGGGATTGAACGCTGACCTGCATGAAGTATGATCGAGCAATATAAGAAAAGAATGAAAAGTGACGACGTTTTGGCCCGTCCTGGACCTAATCAAGTTGCAGTTGATAAGGCAACCACATGCACTGATCGGTTACAGCGGCGACCTTGCTATTTTCAGGTCGGCGTTCGATCCCCAACGGTCCAAGTATTTTGGCACCAATTTGTTTCTCGGTCTTAGCCAGCTTCTCTTCCTCATACCCCTTCCAGGTGCTATATAGTCGTCTAGGCTAGTGTCATAAACCTAACTTTCTGAGGGTCTAAGACGGACCATAACGTCGTGCATGTCACGTGCTTTTTCACGTGCCCTTCTCCTTTTCACGTGCATATTGGGTTGCTTATTACATACACAATTCTCATGTGAGTTGAGAGGGTAGATAAAGCCAGGTTATTTAGCACTGAGGACGCAAATAAACCAATGAGACATAATTTTTCAGTGTCAGAGTAATTAACAAAAGGAATACACTAGAAGTGATATAGTGGAGACAGATTCCATACACACTTTCAAATGTAGATATGAAAGAGCCCAGTAGGCTCAGGAACTGTCCACTAGTTAAATGACGATAAAGAGGCGGGACCAAAGAGCCAGAGCTCAATCCCCGCAAGCACAAATAGGTGAGTACAAATAGGTGAGCACACACACACACACACACACACACACACACACACACACACACACACACACACACACTGTTTGAGGCTTCAAGAAGACCTAGACAAGCTCAAGGAATGGTCGAACAAATGGTTGTTAGAGTGTAACCCAACCAAATGTAATGTAATGAAGATAGGTGTAGGGAGCAGGAGGCCAGATACAAGGTATCATCTGGGAGAGGAAATTCTTCAGGAGTCAGAGAAGGAAAAAGACTTGGGGGTTGATATCACGCCAGACCTGTCTCCTGCAGCACATATCAAGCGGATAACATCAGCGGCATATGCCAGGCTGGCCAACATACGAACGGCATTCAGAAACTTGTGTAAAGAATCATTCAGAACTTTGTATACCACATATGTCAGGCCAATCCTGGAGTATGCAGCCCCAGCATGGAGTCCATATCTAGTCAAGGATAAGACTAAACTGGAAAAGGTTCAAAGGTTTGCCACCAGACTAGTACCCGAGCTGAGAGGTATGAGCTACGAGGAGAGACAACGGGAATTAAACCTCACTTCGCTGGAAGACAGAAGAGTTAGGGGGGGACATGATCACCACATTCAAGATTCTGAAGGGGATTGATAGGGTAGATAAAGACAGTCTATTTAACACAAGGGGAACTCGCACAAGGGGACACAGGTGGAAACTGAGTGCCCAAATGAGCCACAGAGATATTAGAAAGAACTTTTTTAGTGTCAGAGTGGTTGACAAATGGAATGCATTAGGAAGTGATGTGGTGGAGGCTGACTCCATACACAGTTTCAAGTGTAGATATGACAGAGCCCGATAGGCTCATGAATCTGTACACCTGTTGATTGACGGTTGAGAGGCGGGACCAAAGAGCCAGAGCTCAACCCCCGCAAACACAACTAGGTGAGTACAACTAGGTGAGTACACAAAAATGAGGAGGATTGAAACAGAGGATGATAGTAGGAGGCTACAAGATGACCTAGACAGAGTGAATGGTCCAACAAATGGCCGTTGAAGTTCAACCCGAGTAAATGCAAAGTAATGAAACTAGGAGGTGGAAATAGGAGGCCAGACACAGGATACAGAATAGGAGATGAAGTACTTAATGAAACAGACAGAGAGAAAGATCTAGGGAGTTGATATCACACCAAACCTGTCTCCTGAAGCCCACATAAAAAGAATAACGTCTGCGGCATATGCGAGGCTGGCTAACATCAGAACAGCATTCAGGAACCTGTGTAAGGAATCATTCAGAATCTTGTACATCACATATGTAAGACCAATCCTGGAGTATGCGGCCCCAGCATGGAGCCCGTACCTTGTCAAACACAAGACGAAGCTGGAAAAAGATCAAAGGTATGCCACTAGACTAGTCCCAGAACTAAGAGGCATGAGTTACGAGGAATGGCTGCGGGAAATGCACCTTACGACTTAGGAAGACAGAAGATTAAGGGGAGACATGATCACAACCTACAAAATCCTCAGGGGAATCGACCGGGTAAACAAGGATATACTATTCAACACTGGTGGGACGCGAACAAGGGGACACAGGTGGAAACTGAGTACCCACATGAGCCACAGGGACGTTAGAAGGAACGTTTTCAGTGTCAGAGTAGTTAACGGATGGAATGCATTAGGCAGTGATGTGGTGGAGGCTGACTCCATACACAGTTTCAAGTGTAGATATGATAAAGCCCAATAGGCTCAGGAACCTGTACACCAGTTGATTGACAGTTGAGAGGCGGGACCAAAGAGCCAAAGCTCAACCCCCGCAAGCACAAATAGGTGAGTACACAGACAAACAATTCCACGCATACATTCAGAAACACAAACCCAAATTAGAGACTTTAATATTCTGTAAAACATCAAAATATATAAGAGTGGACAAATGTGCCCCCACCACGGAGGCAGGAGCAGGAGCAGCGTGACCTTCTCCCACCTCGCCAGTCTTACTACTGAAGCTTGGCTAGTAAATCCCGTGTTTAAGTACACTCACAAGAAACTCCAAAGAAGAGGTTATAACCGGCCACCAATTTAGGTCCTGTAAACCACGCAGATTACACTCTGAGTTCCACTTTTTCCACGGATCTGCCCGTCATTATGGGCTAGTCTCTCTAATTCTAAACGGCCGACCACAACACAAAAAATGTAATTGCGTAATTGAGGTTAAATGGAAGAGTTTTCATGACAGGGCGACGTAACTGTACCAGAAGCTGAGCTGTTATATATTCCAGTTGTGTTCCCATTGGTTGTAACACTTTAGGCCAGGTGGAGGTGACTGTGTCGGACAGTGTCACCTGGTGCAGGTGGGTCAGTGTCGCCTGGTGCAGGTGTGTCAGACAGTGTCGCCTGGTGTAGGTGGGTCAGACAGTGTCGCCTGGTGCAGGTGTGTCAGACAGTGTCGCCTGGTGTAGGTGTGTCAGACAGTGTCGCCTGGTGCAGGTGTGTCAGACAGTGTCGCCTGGTGTAGGTGTGTCAGACAGTGTCGCCTGGTGTAGGTGTGTCAGACAGTGTCGCCTGGTGCAGGTGTGTCAGACAGTGTCGCCTGGTGCAGGTGTGTCAGACAGTGTCACCTGGTGCAGGTGTGTCAGTGTCGCCTGGTGTAGGTGTGTCAGACAGTGTCGCCTGGTGTAGGTGTGTCAGACAGTGTCGCCTGGAGTAGGTGTGTCAGACAGTGTCGCCTGGTGTAGGTGTGTCAGACAGTGTCACCTGCTGTAGGTGTGTCAGACAGTGTCGCCTGGTGCAGGTGTGTCAGACAGTGTCGCCTGGTGTAGGTGTGTCAGACAGTGTCGCCTGGAGTAGGTGTGTCAGACAGTGTCGCCTGGTGCAGGTGTGTCAGACAGTGTCGCCTGGTGTAGGTGTGTCAGACAGTGTCACCTGCTGTAGGTGTGTCAGACAGTGTCGCCTGGTGCAGGTGTGTCAGTGTCGCCTGGTGTAGGTGTGTCAGACAGTGTCGCCTGGAGTAGGTGTGTCAGACAGTGTCGCCTGGTGTAGGTGTGTCAGACAGTGCCACCTGGTGCAGGTGGGTCAGACACTGTCACCTGGTGCAGGTGTGTCAGACAGTGTCACCTGGTGTAGGTGTGTCAGACAGTGTTGCCTGGTGCAGGTGTGTCAGACAGTGTCGCCTGGAGCAGGTGTGTCAGACAGTGTTCCCTGGTGTAGGTGTGTCAGACAGTGTCGCCTGGTGCAGGTGTGTCAGACAGTGTTCCCTGGTGTAGGTGTGTCAGACAGTGTTCCCTGGTGTAGGTTTGTCAGACAGTGTCGCCTGGTGTAGGTGTGTCAGACAGTGTCGCCTGGTGTAGGTGTGTCAGACAGTGTTCCCTGGTGTAGGTGTGTCAGTGTCGCCTGGTGCAGGTGTGTCGGACAGTGTCACCTGGTGTACGTGTGTCAGACAGTGCCGCCTGGTGCAGGTGTGTCAGACAGCGTCGCCTGGTGTAGGTGTGTCAGTGTCGCCTGGTGCAGGTGTGTCGGACAGTGTCGCCTGATGCAGGTGTGTCAAACAGTGTCGCCGGGTGCAGGTGTGTCGGACAGTGTCGCCTGGTGCAGGTGGGTCAGACAGAGTCGCCTAGTGCAGGTGTGTCAGACAGTGTCGCCTGGTGTAGGTGTGTCAGAGTGTCGCCTGGTGTAGGTGTGTCAGACAGTGTCGCCTGGTGTAGGTGTGTCAGACAATGTCGCCTGGTGTAGGTGTGTCAGACAGTGTCGCCTGGTGTAGGTGTGTCAGACAGTGTCGCCTGGTGTATGTGTCAGACAGTGTCGCCTGGTGCAGGTGTGTCAGACAGTGTCGCCTGGTGTAGGTGTGTCAGACAGTGTCGCCTGGTGCAGGTGTGTCGGACAGTGTCGCCTGATGCAGGTGTGTCAAACAGTGTCGCCTGGTGCAGGTGTGTTGGACAGTGTCGCCTGGTGCAGGTGTGTCGGACAGTCTCACCTGATGCAGGTGTGTCAGACAGTGTCGCCTGGTGCAGGTGTGTCAGACAGTGTCGCCTGGTGCAGGTGTGTCAGTGTCGCCTGGTGTAGGTGTGTCAGACAGTGTCGCCTGGTGCAGGTGTGTCAGACAGTGTCGCCTGGTGCAGGTGTGTCAGTGTCGCCTGGTGTAGGTGTGTCAGACAGTGTCGCCTGGTGTAGGTGTGTCAGACAGTGTCGCCTGGTGCAGGTGTGTCAGTGTCGCCTGGTGTAGGTGTGTCAGACAGTGTTCCCTGGTGTAGGTGTGTCAGACAGTGTCGCCTGATGCAGGTGTGTCAGACAGTGTCACCTGGTACACGTGTGTCAGAAAGTGTCACCTGATGCAGGTGTGTCAGACAGTGTCACCTGGTGCAGGTGTGTCAGACAGCGTCACCTGGTGCAGGTGTGTCAGACAGTGTCACCTGATGCAGGTGTCAGACAGTGTCACCTGGTGCAGGTGTGTCAGACAGTGTCGCCTGGTGTAGGTGTGTCAGACAGTGTCACCTGGTGTAGGTGTGTCAGTGTCGCCTGGTGTAGGTGTGTCAGACAGTGTCGCCTGGTGTAGGTGTGTCATACAGTGTCGCCTGGTGCAGGTGTGTCAGTGTTCCCTGGTGCAGGTGTGTCATACAGTGTCGCCTGGTGTAGGTGTGTCAGACAGTGTCGCCTGGTGCAGGTGTGTCAGACAGTGTCGCCTGGTGCAGGTGTGTCATACAGTGTCGCCTGGTGCAGGTGTGTCAGACAATGTCGCCTGGTGTAGGTGTGTCAGACAGTGTCGCCTGGTGCAGGTGTGTCAGACAGTGTCGCCTGGTGCAGGTGTGTCAGACAATGTCGCCTGGTGTAGGTGTGTCAGACAGTGTCGCCTGGTGCAGGTGTGTCATACAGTGTCGCCTGGTGCAGGTGTGTCAGACAGTGTCGCCTGGTGCAGGTGTGTCAGACAGTGTCGCCTGGTGCAGGTGTGTCAGACAGTGTCGCCTGGTGTAGGTGTGTCAGACAGTGTTCCCTGGTGCAGGTGTGTCAGACAGTGTTCCCTGGTGCAGGTGTGTCAGACAGTGTCGCCTGGTGTAGGTGTGTCAGACAGTGTCACCTGGTGCAGGTGTGTCAAGAGATGACACCAAAATGATTGTCATTGATATGTCAAGCCACTTTTATTTCTTTGCGAACAAATTTGTTATTATTTTATTCTGCGAATTCATATTTGTGTTACGAATTTTTATATATTTTTATTAACACAT